GCTGCGCCCTCCCCGCTGCGCTACTGGACTCAAGTTGGAAGCCGAGCCCGGGCGGCGGCACTTGCGCCAAGCGCTCCGCGGCGGCGGCAGAGACGCTGCACCGGCGAGCGGGGAGGGCGAGGCGGCGCCCGCACGGCCAAACGCGGACCTCGGGGGGCGCCCGCACTCGGGAGTTGCAGGAGGACCGCAGGTGTCGGCGCCCAACCCCGCAAAGTAAAGTTGCAGGGACCCGGAAGAACAGCAACCTGCGCCCCGGCTCGCTTAGCCCCAGCCAACCCGTTTGGAAGCAGAGCGTCCGGGCCGCCGCCTGCAGCCTGCAGCCCAGTCGGGCACCCGGACCGTGGAGCCGCTTGCGTGCACCAGCTTGGACACAGCATCTCCGTGGGCTGGCAGCCGGGACGCTCCCACTGAACCCAGGCCGAGGGCGGGGCCGCGCGAGGACCCGGGACCTACCCCCCTTCCCCCCCACCGTCGCGTCGCCGCGCTCTCTGGGCACCTCCAGCTCTGCACTTACGCGCGCGGCAGCTGCGGGGAGCCCGGCAGCCACGCTCTCCGGCGCGCCGCCCGCCCGCCGGGCCACCACGGCCGAGGGCCGGCTGCGGGGCTTCGTGGCCCCCAGCCGGCGCGCCGGAGGAGCAGGCGGAGATGCGGACGCCGACCCTGGCTGTGGGGCGCCCGAGCTGCCGAGGCTGCACCCGGGCTCCTGGCAGGACCGCGTAGCTCTCGGGAGGACCATGGCGTCCCCAGCGCTGGCCGCGGCGCTGGCGGCGGCGGCGGCGGCGGCGGCTGAGGGCCCCAACGGGAGCGACGCGGGCGAATGGGGTAGCGGCGGGGGTGCCAACGCCTCGGGAACCGACTGGGGGCCACCGCCGGGCCAGTACTCCGCAGGTGCTGTGGCGGGGCTGGCAGCCGTGGTGGGTTTCCTCATCGTTTTCACCGTGGTGGGCAACGTGCTCGTGGTGATCGCTGTGTTGACCAGCCGAGCCCTGCGCGCCCCGCAGAACCTCTTCCTGGTGTCTCTGGCCTCAGCTGACATCCTGGTGGCCACACTGGTCATGCCCTTTTCGCTGGCCAATGAGCTCATGGCCTACTGGTACTTCGGGCAAGTGTGGTGTGGTGTGTACCTGGCACTGGACGTGCTCTTCTGCACCTCGTCCATCGTGCACCTGTGTGCCATTAGTCTCGACCGCTACTGGTCGGTGACGCAAGCGGTAGAGTACAACCTGAAGCGCACGCCGCGTCGTGTCAAGGCCACCATCGTGGCCGTGTGGCTCATCTCCGCTGTCATCTCCTTCCCGCCTCTCGTCTCGTTCTACCGCCGGCCCGACGGCGCCGCCTACCCGCAGTGCGGCCTCAACGATGAGACCTGGTACATCTTGTCCTCCTGCATAGGCTCCTTCTTCGCGCCCTGCCTCATCATGGGCCTGGTCTATGCGCGCATCTACCGCGTGGCCAAGCTGCGCACGCGTACGCTCAGCGAGAAACGCGGCTCCGCCGGCCCCGACGGCGCGTCCCCGACCACAGAGAATGGGTTGGGCAAGGCGGCGGGGGAGAATGGGCATTGCGCGCCCCCGCGCACTGAAGTGGAGCCGGATGAGAGCAGCGCAGCGGAGAGACGGAGGCGCCGGGGCGCGCTGCGCAGAGGACGGCGGCGAGAGGGTGCTGAGGGGGACACAGGCAGTGCGGACGGACCGGGACCCGGACTGGCGACCGAGCAGGGTGCCCGGACGGCGTCTCGATCCCCAGGCCCCGGAGGGCGCCTGTCGCGGGCCAGCTCGCGCTCCGTCGAGTTCTTTCTGTCGCGTCGGCGCCGGGCGCGCAGCAGTGTGTGCCGCCGCAAGGTGGCCCAGGCGCGCGAGAAGCGCTTCACCTTCGTGTTGGCGGTGGTCATGGGCGTGTTCGTACTGTGCTGGTTCCCCTTCTTCTTCAGCTACAGCCTGTATGGCATCTGCCGGGAGGCCTGCCAGCTGCCAGAACCGCTCTTTAAGTTTTTCTTCTGGATTGGCTACTGCAACAGTTCGCTCAACCCGGTTATCTACACTGTCTTCAATCAGGACTTTAGGCGCTCTTTCAAGCACATCCTCTTCCGAAGGAGGAGAAGGGGCTTCAGGCAATGACCCTCTGGCCGCCTGGACCTGGACCCACTGACCTCCTGGACAGCTCCGAACTCGGGTAGACAGAGGGACCAACAAATGTGGCCTCTCCAGGGTGCCAGGGTGGACTTCAGGGCACAGTGTGTGATGTGGCCAGCAGGAACTGGGCGAGAGACAACTGGGCCTCGGGGAGTGGGGAGGAGAAAGGGAGACCCTTTGCCTCCCCATCTCAGCGAGGGGCTGTGGCTAGGTTGAGGCTCCAGTTCCTGAGAAGGCTTCTACGGAGTGTGGGCTGTGAAGTTAGGGTTTTAGAGCTCAGACAACTGCACCAAGAAAGGAGCAACCCCTCCCCACCTCGGTCTTCCCTGTGAGCAAGGGCTGACTTCCTATGACCTGAAAAAAGGCATCTCTCTGGGGGAGGAGAGATAGCACAGGCAATCTCTGGTTACTGAGAGTGCCAAATACAATGACAGCCAAAACAACCAAACCATTTTTTTTTAAATAAACCTTTGTAATCTAAGTGTCAGGTGCGTTGATCAGTCCTTAAGCCAGGGTGTGAGAGAACTCCAGATCTTCCCGAGTGCCCCACACAGGCACACTAGGGTATAGAGTGCTCTAGAGGCTAGAGTTCTAACTGCCTTTCTTTCATGAGGGAGAGAGGAGTCTCCTTACAACGGTTAAAGGCTTTGGGTATATGCAAAGTATATATTCAAAATTCTTTTCTTCAAGTGGCTATGGAGCAAAGGAATAGAGGGCCTCAAGCCTGTTCCAAATATAGATTCTGGGGGGTTGTTCTCCCCACATTCCATCCCTGCGCGGCCCCACGCATCTGTACTCAGAGCTCCATGTAGTCCTGGCATCCAACATGCTCTTCCGATTGCCTCTTGGAGTGGGCAAGGTGGGATGAGACCTGTCCCAAGAAGTCTCCCCCCACAGATGGGGTGGACTTGTGGCCAGATGGCTTTGCTTAGTTGCTAGGTGGTCAGATAAGCTGGACAGTTCCCAGGTGTTGCTTCTGAAATGAAGCCAAGGTCACTGTGGCCCAGATCAAAGAGAATCTGTTGAAGAGCAGGGGGAGGGTGCAGAAACCCCCCCCCAAGATTTCTCCTTAGTGCCACCCACTCAAACCTTTTCTCAGCCCTCAGTCCCCAGCATAAAACACTTTTGAGGGCCTTTTTATCTCCAAGCCAAGACTCCATGAGCTCTAGTGGCCCTCTGTGGCCACTCCTGGCAGCCCCGAGGGCAGGTTGGGAGGAAGGTTATTAGTAGGAACTGGGTGGGAGAGTTGCCTCAACACCTGTGGCCCAGCTCACTGCAGTTGGGTGGGTTGTAGGGATCTTGCCAGGATACCTGCTGTGACCACCTAGCTTGTCTCTCCTGTGTCCCGACCCCCATCAGTCCTGCCTCCCCAAGCTCCTGTCCCTGAGTCAGACACCAGAGCATTTCCTTCCTAGCCTGAACTGCCAAAGCTGTCTTTTGCCGGGAGAGGGAGAAGATAGAGAGAGAGAGAGAGACCTCTTCACCCACTGTGGATCTTCACGGTGTCCCAACAGGGCCAGGCTCCACCATCACTTCAGGTGGTAACATGCTTACTTTGTGTCGGGCTTAGGCCCAGATGGGGAAACCAAGCCTGGAGAGGTGAGAGGAACAAAATAGGCAGGCTAAGGTGGATCAGGGAGACCTCAGCTGTCTCTGGTCCTATTAAGAGGGAACTTTGCCGACATAATCCAAAGGTACAATTAAGGGCCTGGGATGATACATAGGAAAGGCACAGTTGATCCCACTAGGGAAAAGATGGTAGGCTTCTCCTATATGCTTATAGAAAGGACTTCTGGGCCTAGGGCCTCAGAATTGCCACTGTTGGAATCTGTATCTTACGGTACCCAGAATAGAGCCCAGATAACCAATGAGAGAGGGAGGCAGTCCTCCTCCTTCTGTAACCAGTAACCCCAAACCAAGACACCTTTGCCTTAAGCGAAGTAGCATTTTTGGATTCTGTGAGTTTTGCTACAGGCACATTTCATGAAGCTCAGAGAGGTGAATAAACCTGCCTGGAATCAAACAGCTAGCCGTAAGACCCAGATAAGGTTTGGGTTCACTGGCTCAAAATTCAGTCATAAAATAAGAATTTCTAGACACGTCCTCACCAACCTTCAGGTTGTGGGGGAATGGATTCTCACAGGGGAGGAAGGGATCCAGGCATGGGCCAGCTGTAGAAAAGGACAATTGTGTTTTAGGAGACTGAATCCTGGAGTTGTGGGTAGGGGACAAGAGGTTAACAGGAGACTGCAAAGAAACTTTGGATAGCAGGCTGAAGAGGAAGAGATCTTCTTACCCTGGGTAGGGGTGTGGGGGTGGAGCTTTGAGTCCCTGGGAGGCTGTGAGTTCTGCAGAAATGTGTTGGCCTGGCAGCCAGAGCTGTCCTGTTATACAGACAAGGGTGGCCTAGAGTCGAGCTCCAAGGGTCCTGGTGGGGGTGGAGGGCACGGTAAGGGCAGCTGTGGCCCAGAGCCAGGCCTCCTGGGGATTAGCTCTGTGAGTACTGGGGCTGTCAACAAACTCTAGTCAGTTTCCTTTCCTAATCCCAGAAACGATTCTCTAGGCTCTGGTTTGTTGCAGGCACAGTGGGGCAGCTGCTTGTGCTCTCAGGACTGATGCCTGGAGAGGGAGGTAGCTAAACAAACAAGCCTGCCTCAGGGACATGCTGCCTTACTCTGTGTCTTACATCATTTGAGAATGAGGTGGGGTGCTCACCTCTCCCTGGGGCGCTGTGAGCTCTGTTCCCACATTGTGAGCTGTGGGCCAACAGCTTTCTATTCCTCTGGTAGACCTAGTCTCTATGGTCCTGGCATTAAAGGCCTCCTCTATTTCCAGGTCTCTTTTGCAAAGTCACAGTTGTCAGACTCTGTCTATGGTTGAGGAAACTGAGGCCTAGAGGTAACTATGGCCTAGGTTGCTGAGGCAGCTGGAGAGAGGGACAGAAACTACAAATGCTGGAAAGCCCAGATATAGAGAGCCCACCTTCTGAGCCCTCAATCCAGCACCATGAATGACATCAACGTGACTCTGGGCCTTGCAATAGATGCTGTATCGCCTCCAGACGAGTTCGGGCAGGATGACCTGAAGTCACCCCAGCAAGGTGGAGGAAAGCAGGCCCTGAACGCAAGGTGCTGTCCTGAGTATAGTGTGCTCAGCTGCCCCTGCCTGTCCCAGCCTGCAGCACACACGGACACATGTGAGTATACTTAACCCGGATGCAATTGGTGGAGTGGGAAAAGATAATCCGGATATCCCCTTACAGCTCAGGAAAGAATCCAGAAGAACTCGGGATTGCTAATGCTCAACAGAAGCAGCTCGGATCTCTGAAGCCCCCCAGGGTGGGGGCGGAGGATGGGAGGCACGTTGCTGTGGCACTTGATGGCAAGAAGGCTGCCTGCCCTTCCTGAAGAGCTGGCAGCGGCTGTATTTTTATATCAAATCTGTAGGCTGGGCTCAAATAGTTCAGCCCAGTGTTGGTTCAAAACACACAGTGCCTGCAGGCCCAAAGTCTGATTGGGTGGATGCAACTTTTTGTCCAATTAAACCCTCAGCTTCGTGAACCTGTGCTGTCCCATGTATAAGGAGAGAGTAGAGGAGATGACACCCTCAGGGCCCGGTGGCCAACACTACAGTACCTGTTCCAGCATCAGCCCATGCATTCCCCTTAGCTAGTGACACCGGAAACCTACTCCTGGGTGTATCTTAGGGGCAGTCTTTTGGATGTGGGGTGAGGATTTCAGGGATGGTAGGTAGGATCCTTGGAACTGAGGAACAGTGGAAGTGGTGGGGGCCTGTCACCACAGCCCAGTGATGGTCTGGGAAGGCCCTGTGGCTCCCACTAGGCCTTCTCTTACTTCCCACCCAGTGTAATAAGGGCACATTCCCTCTACCCACCTCTTTCACCTCTTGCACCAAGGCAGCACAGGGGCAAAAGGGCCAGGGTGCCTCCAGCAGGGTGCAGCGCAGTCCTCTGAAGTCAGCCTGGGAAGCCAGGTCAGCTCCAGACTCTGGGCGAAAAGCAAGCCCTGGGGACCAAAAATGTATTTCTTTCCTGCCAAGAGGATTTGTGGCTGCTCACAGTAAAAGCCCTGGGACAATGGGGTCATTATGGTCAAGATAAGGAATCAGTCCACTCAGGGCAGAGAGAATGCTGGGTAGTGAGCCAGGTGAAAGGCATCCTGCCTGCCCTTAAGTCTGAACACAAACCAGGCCCAAAGCTGGTAGCCAAGGAGAGGAAAAAAAAAAAAAGAAAAGAAAAAAAAAGAAACAGGATATGCACACAGTTATTGATGTGAGGTTGACAGAAAAAGCTAGAGACCAGGAAGCCCACAGCGCATGACCTCTTCAACTGGGAAGAATCTGCTCCTAGGAAGGGTTTTCAGATACCTCAGAGAGCTCCCAAGTGCTCAGTCCACTGCAGTCTCCAGGCCCAGTCCCCATCAGCAGCCACAGGCCCTAAATTTCAGGATCAGGGACACTGAGGGTCACAGCCATATTTAAAACTGTAGCATGTAGCTGTGTGGCCTCCACACTCCCACAACTGAAAGGCTGCAGCAAAAGGTACTTTCAGACTCTTCCCAGCTGTCTCCCACAGCCCAGGACAAACCTGCCTCAGAAGAGTGGCAGGCCTGTCTCGAGCTGGTGGCCACCTCTCATGTCCCTACCCATCCCTGTTACCTCTGACTGCACCCAGCCCCCTGCCTCTGATAACTAGTGCTCAGCCTAAGTCATACCCATCCTCACACCTGTGTCTGCCTGGTCCCCACATTTCACCTCCAGAGAGGCTCTCTGAAGATGAGCTAGCCACTGCCCTGTTTCCAAGGGCAGGCATCAGGTCTGTGCTGACTGCTGAGGTGGTCACAGGAAAGGTTGGGAAATTTGAAGCATCAAGAGGCCCAGGCTCTGCCCTACTCCACTCTGATGCTGCAGGGGATTTCCTGCTTCAAGTGCAGGCCTGGCTGCTGCCTCCGGCTGTTCAGATATTGGTGGGCGGGTTTCTCCCCAGTTTGATCAGCTCCTACTGACTGCAACTCTCATGAAGGAGTATCTCACTGGGCCTGCAGCACAGGGGCTAGCCTGCATGCTGAGTGTCAGGACAGGGATGCCCACTCTGGCTTCCTGTTGCAGACCCTCCCAGTTTCACCACGAGCATAACGAGGAACTAAAGGACAACAGTGACAAAGAACAAGCATCAGGAATCTAGTGTGTGGCATGCCCATCGTGCCTCTGTGTCTGTCCCTTACACCTCATCAGGAACGTCCATTTAACAGACATGAAAACTGAGCTCCAAGATGGAAGCCAGATGCTAGCCATACCCCACCACTGCACCCTCAACACATTATCCTGACCACCATTGTCAAGTTCAGTTTTGAGCTGAGCAAACAGATTTGGAACAGTGGATGGCTTCAAACTGATGTGTTTGGTGGA